TGTCCTCTTCTTGTTCTCTGACACTGATTTAGTTGTGTGAGACAGGAAGAGGTCAGTGGCAATGGGCATTAAACTGAAACACAGCTCCAGAGTTCACTCTGGAGTTCTGCCTACAAATGGATGTACTCAATGTCATGACAGACATGGCACCTCAAAAGCACCCCAAAATCTTTTTTTTTTTTTTTTTTTGGGTGGGAGATTCTTTCAAATATTTTCTCTTTTGGTAAATAAATACAATCTTAAATGCAGAACAGTCAATACAGAATTAATATATTCTGCTTCCTTTAGCTGATAACTGGTAGTCCTATTCATCACAGTTAAGAGAGCAACTTACATTTAGAAGTTCAAAGGCATCTGTCTGGGATTAGACCAAAGACTATTTCAGTGTCTTACCTCCAAAGGTGACTTGAATTCCTAAAGGAGCAGTAAGAGCAGGGTAGGGATATATGATACTTTCTCCTAATGCTCTCCTGGCTAGCAGCTCTGCTTAGCTTCAGAGAGCTTTTTTCATTGACCTATAGTTTGTATGTTTGTTAACCCACAGCTTGTCTGATTTCCCCTAGAGGATGTGTGAAATGAGAATTTGTCAAATAGCTACATGGTTTTCTTTGTTTTGGGAAGTCTCGACTTTCCTCCACTTAATATCTGTGTGGAATTTTGGTACTTAGCCCTCATTATGAATGCACGCTCTAGTTTTCTCAGTTTTAGCTCAAGAGGTAAGCTGCATAAACAATAGGTTCACCTGGCTTCTGTCTAGCATGGAAATTTCCAATCTGTCCCTTACCTTTTGGGAGGGAACAGCACTGCTTCCTGTCACAGAGCCAGCAGAACCAGTGAGGAATCTGAAACTTGCATTATATTCAAATGCTTGTGGTCTTGAAGCCCCAACCTCCTACACGCCCCAATCAAGTTGTTTTATTGCTTCTAAAATAGAGGATTTCAGATTTCTTTTTCATTACTGCCCTTATGCACCTGCAAATGTTATTCTCTGCATTCATTTTTCCCTGGCACAGAGCACAAGTTCATGCCAGCTCACTTGATATGCATGCAGATATGAATTTCAACCAGAAGAGGATCATCACTCAGAAAAAAAATATTTGTTTTACAATTCTGAGCATGTTAGGCGTAGAAACCTGCTGCACAACTGCCTTTAACACTCTGCTGTTTGTGCTTTTTAGGTTACGGTCAGTTTTAAGCAGACCCAACAGTGCTCTTTTTGGGTTTTTTTTCACTTCACTCTTATTTGTTACCATCCCTTCTAAGTGAAAATGCAATGGCTTTTTAAAGTAAAGAGAATGGCAAATGCAGTAGATAGACAAGGGCATTCTGGAGCATTGTGTCGTGGCTGAAAAGGCCTGCTGTGTGCAAGTAATGACTGCTGTAATGATGAATCATTGGATCTAGGTTGTGTTACTGCTGACTTTAGACAGTTTGAGGGGTTTTTTAACACATTTATTATAGTCTTCTATTTGTAAACTAGTTCCTAATAGCTGCTGTTGGAGATAATCTTCTGATGGTAAGGTTATGCATATGATTACTCTTAGCATTTGAAGAAAACTTTAGGATTGTGCAACTTTTCCCCCAAGCATCAAAACTGAAGGTGTACATAACATTATATTTATTTTTTGTAAAACAGTGGATGTGCCAGTGCATTCATCTACACTGAAAAACATAAGGAGCACAATAGCTGGAAAATATGGAAAGGCTATTAATGATGATGATAACGTTATAGTGACCTGCAATTCCTACAGACATAGAGTCAGAATGTGCACTGCCAACTTTAAGGTCAATTAAATGGACAATAAAGGCCATACTGGCAGAAGAGATGTCAGGAAGGGAGAGACTGAGATGCAGAACTTTGATGCTGCTGAAATGAACAGCTCTTTTGTGAGTGATAAGGCTGAATGACCCAAGGATGAAAATATGGCCTTGAAATCCCAGTCTAATGCTGACTCCCAGTTCAGATGTAAATCTGTCTTAAAAATCTAGCAGCTTTCTTAGGGCATTATCAGTCATCTTTTTAAGAAACTGTCAATACCAGAACAAGCTTTGGGTAGATGGGCCAAGGAAAATGCCAAAAAGCAGCTTCAAGCAGACTGAAAGGTAAAGTGAATTTTTAAATCAGGGGCTATTTGCAGCCCATCTAAACTTAGAATGTGTTAGTTTGAGTGTCTCTGAGTGTACTACAAGTTCATCTCAACTTGACATATGCTTTTTGAAAATGTTTTCAGTATTAAGTAGATTCATGAATACATAAACTTTAATGGATAAAATATGATCTTTCTGTTGAGGAGTTTCAGCTGTAACTAAAAAGTGAGTTAATTTCATCTTGCTATTTGCAAATTGTGAATAAATCTGTCACAGGTACCCTGAGCTGTTTGAATTAATGTGAGTGACTTGTGAGACCGGTCAGCCTCTTCCAGTGACTGGCTAAAGTGGTCTGTGAGCTTTACATAATAAAACCAGTGACACTTAGGACCATATTCAATTGAAAAAGATGTTCTCTGATTGAAATCTGAGAATCTGGGCAAAGCAGGTACTCCAAACCAAATATTTATTAAGAAACTAAATGAACTGAAACAAAAATGGGAAATGCAATACATTAAAATCTGATCAGCTGAAGCTTCAGGCACAAAGATGTTATCCGGGCCACTTGTAATGCGTTAATAAAAAGTGAACAGAAAATATGAATTTTCATTTTGTGGATTCCTTAAATCTGATTTTTTGGTTGACTGCCATTTGGAAGCAGAGAAAGAGCTTAGGAGCCTTTTGTGAAACACATTTATTGTAATTTTCCAACCACCACGGGAGACTTGACTCAAGGGTGTCACTGGCAGATTGCCTTGGAGCCCCAGGAACCTTATGAGACCTCATCATGAGCAGAGCAGTTATAGTGGGGCAGACGTTCCCGGAAGGACATCCCAGAGCCAAAAGTTAGGAAGGACAAGGTTGCTAGGAACCTGACAAGAAATCAGAAAACATGCCATGTGCTGTCTTTTTTCCTTTTCTTTCTTTCTTTTTTTAATTTTATTTTATTTAATTCTGCTTACTTTCAGCAGAACTTTATGTAGATTGACTAGCAGAATTGTTCCTCCTTTAGTAAGGCTTTGATTCATTTTGTTTTACGGAAAACTTAAATGACAGCTTATGTTGTAAATGGGATAAACTTTCTATGCTTTGGAAGTTTATATGAGGAGCAAATGTTCCATTGAGAACTTTGTTACTACTCTGTCCTCTTTTGACTGATTTTGGTTCCTGGGTGTGTTTGTATTCCAACTGGTTTGTTATGAGCAATCTGATCAGAACAGCCACGTTTCCAGTTCAAGCATCCTGGCTTAGTCTGATGTGCTGCCCCCTGTCACAGTTACTCAGTTTCACTCTTATTCTTTTACACCTGCTGTGGGAACGCCTACTGTGGAGAATGCAAGAAAATATCAAAGCAACACAACAAAATATCATGTTGTTTTTAAATATTGAACTCCACATAAATTAAGGACCCTGATTCCTGCTAACGCTCTTGAAGTTTTCCAGAACCACAATCACAGCTATGGCTTTCAATCCCCTTCATTTGTGATTAGTGCTGTGAGAGTTTCAAATAAGGAATCGGTCATATACTGCTGCTCTTGCTTTCCCCTCACCTGAGTCTCTCCAGATCAAAATTTCCAGTCTTGCCTTATCATTCTGCTAAGCAAGAAGTGACTCCAATTCTAATAGCCTTTGAATTAATAATGAGGGTTATCAGTGTGTGTTTTTTTTGATGCTCTTAATATTTGTGGCCAGTTAAATTGTTCTCCTTTGGACATGGTACGGTATAAATTGCCGCTGACATTGGCAAGTGCTATTTGTGTTGGTTGTCATTAAAAGCCAATGGTCCAAGTAATAAGAGCTCAGCACTAGGCATCTAATTGAACATTTAAACACTGTCAGTTCCAAAGTTCGTTTCTCTTTTTCTTTGCGTTTTTTTCCTTTGTGTTTTTTAAGGAGATATTCAGTTATATTTTGTTTTTAAGGGGATAATACAGTTTAAAGTATCTAATAGTTATGAGCTGTGAATCAAGATGGGCATGGTAACTATACAAATAAAATGGAATTAAATTGTGTTTAAAACTATTTGTGTGTTAATCCTAATTCAATTTCATGTAGAAAAAAAAATTGAAGGTGTCCAGCTTTTCCCAGAGTTTGTTTCTGGCCTCGCTTTGTCAATGATTTCTTTCCTACCTAATGAAAGCAGAACAAGTGTATTTTTTTCCTCTTCATTTGCACTGTGAAGTTGATTCAAAAGTGACTTGCCACGAAAATGTAGTGGATTCAAGGAGTGAAAGGACTGAGTGAAAGATGAGTTAGGAAGCACATGTTCAGTCCAGCAAGAAGGCAGGTTATGGAAAAATTTTCAGCAAAGGAAAGGAGAAGATGTATGAGAGGAGGATGAGAGGCCTTCTGTGCATGGAACCTGAGACAGGGTATAATTCATCATCCCTGTGACAGCCCTCTTTCTCAGGAGAACCCTTTCCTTTCTGTTCTTTGCACTTCTGTGAACTCTAGCATTTGTGATGTGAGTTTTTTGGTTTGAGTTTGTTTTGTTTTTCTTTAATTCAGAGGCTTTCAGGGTAGATATACACTGGAAAGGCCTTAGAAGCAAGAAATACAGAAATCTGACAAAAGTTACTTGATACTAATTTTCTGCCTTCCTCTCTGTTGCTTCCTCTCAACACACAGTGCTAAGGCAAAAATGCTTTCCTTTTTCTCCTCAGTCAGCTGAAACATACTCTTTCCTGTGATGTGGCCAATGAAATGTATTTTCCAAGTTTAATTGGCAAGTCAAGCAATAACACAAATGCTTCTGCAGCATGGTGCTAAAGGTTCTCTATCCTCACTTCAATAGCAAAAGTTCTAGAGATCATGTGCTTTGGTTTTTGTCATCTGCAGAGAGCATCTATTATTTTTTTTTTTCTGGCTTTCACAAGCAAGCTGACTGATAGCTGGTTTGTTCTCTGTTGCAGGTCGTGGAGACTAATTTGGTTGCTTTTGACTGTCACTGGATCATTATAAATGAGGTAACTGTCAAGTGAACGTTGTGAACCATGAATCCTGTTTTCAGGCTTGCTGACAATATTCATGCTGATTCTCACTTTGCCAACAGGAAGCAGTAGCTATGACAAAGTTCAAGCACACTGAGGGAGTAGATGTTGCTTAATAAAAGTAGAATGACAAGTTCTTGGACTTTGCTGTTTTTTCTTGCCTGTTTTAAATGGAAGTCCCTCTATGAATAAATGGAAAATAAAGTGAAAAAAACCCTTCATTTCTAAATATCTCAGGAGTTTACAATTGACTGAACTGTTTTCACGGGATTTTTAAGGCCTTTTTTAATATGTAATCTTTTGTAGTTAAGTTCTTTAATTTTGTTTATATTGTAAAGATTTTTTTCTTAATAATCAAAATAATAATAATAATAAACCATATTTCCCTTTCTTAATTCTCCAAATGATCCATCATGGTTGATAGCCAAACCTATTGATATTAGTGGGAGGCTCTTTGGAAGACTTTTGGATTAGGTAATACATAAGTGTTCAAAAGGGAAAGAAGAAAGTTAAATTGAGATTCTGCTTTTACACTGTGAAATAAGTTCTTCCATGGAAGCTTGTCAGATAAAATATGACAAGTCAATATGTGATGTAGTTTTGTATATGAAGTATTGAGCACTGCAGTCCAGGTTTGATACCATTCAGGTTATTGGAAAATAATTTAGGTTTGAAATAGCTGGATTCCCTGAGTAGATTACTATCTCCTAACATGTTAATCATGCAACTCCTGTATATTCTCAGGATAAAAGACTGCATGTAAATTCCATGTCTTACTATCTGGATTTACTGTACACTTCTGTTCTGATACTAATTATTGGATTTTCATTGGTATGCTGTGCTAAACCAGTGGATTTTTAGGCAGTTTTCTTTGGGAAAGAATATGTCTCTGGAAATGCTGTGTAAAGAAAGCAGGTCCAGCATAATCATTAGTTTGGGCCCTGCTTTGCTTCTCATCAGTGCTATGTGTATTTTCCAGCACTGAATGGGGCTTTGCTGGGAGAGAGCCCAACTTTAATCTACAGGTAGTCATGTGAACAACATACATGGGTTTTTTTTCATGTCTGATTAAACTAGAATTCACTTCAGAGTTAACACTGAGTATTTTAAGAGGAGTGTTAACTGAATCCAAAGCTGTCCTCTGCAATCAGATCAGACAGCAGTTCCTTGACAAAGCTCACATTTTAGCTTGCTATTCAAATTAAAGACACTGCCATTAATTTTTTTGTTTTAAATGTTACATACTTCTCAAAAGATCTAAAAAAGGTGCTTGCTTTTAGCTGTTTCAGCTCCTTCACCCTCAAAAAAACCAAGACTGAGGATCCATTCCTAGACTATATGCTTTCTCTTTGCTTTTTATTCAGAAATTAGTGTCCCCATGGAAATAAAAAAATCTGCTTTTTAAGCATTGTTATTTGCACATTGCAGCAGATGAAATGGCAGAGTAATCAAAGTGGTTACCACTCAGCTGCCTTCTCTGCTCCAAAACTCTTTCTCTGGGCTGTAGTCCCAGGAGCAGGAAAAGCTGAATGATCTGCACAGATAAATGTTCATCATCCCCTCTTAGGTTGATAGTTTTGTATGTGAAAAGAGTGAAAGCTGTCATTAAGTTCATTCCAGAAAACTGCACTAAACCATCACCATTAAAGTCTCTGCATCTCATTCAATAATTCCTCTTTTCTCTTTCAGAGGAGGTGAATATGTTTAATGCTATCTCAGCTTAATCTGTTTCTGGACCTAAATCCATACTCCCACTTAGGTAGATTTCTAGCTCTGTTTGTTTGAAAATGCAAATAATTTCAATATTATGTTGATGGAGAAATCATATTAGCAGTACATAAGCAAGAATTCTGCTTTGCCCAATTTTTCCTTGTCACTATGTTCAAACTACAGCAGAAATCTACATGTTTCCTGAGTGTTTGATGTTGGGTAATTGCTTATTGCAACATTTTGCCAGTTCAGTAATGAGATTGCAATGCCTCTGTTTGGCAGTGCAGGACTTGGAAATGGTGAGATTTGTGGGCCCCTTTCTGTGTGATAAATAAAACAGCTATCTTTATGTCCCAGTCTGTTTGAGGTGGTCATCCATTACCTGTTGATGGCCACAGTACCTCCATATGACTGGGAGATGATCTCAGAGCTCTGCCCATTTTGTTTCTTCTCTCAATCTTTTGTGACAGCTTAGACACCTGTGCTTGAGTGCTTATATTGGTTAAATGATGCTGTCAATTAAGTAACCGACACTGCTTCTCTGGCCTCCTAATTTGAAATTCTAAAATGATCTATGACAATGAAAATGCATTGCTTTGTAAATTCTTCATCTGATTGAAATAATTCCTTGCCTTGAGGTATCTAAATAAGTTGGAATTGTCTTTCCTTTTCCATCCCTGTGCCAAGGGAATACAACCTTCTTACTGACTGAAGCAAATACTACCTTCAGTTTTGTGATCAGAAATCTGTTTAGGCTTTGTGAGGTAACATCTGCTATTTTAATTGCTCACTCTAAGTGCTATAATGCCTGAAAAGAGTTCCTTAATTTTTATTGTCCCATTGCTTGCTCCTTTATGCAATACAGCAAATTTTCTTGAAGACTGTGTATCATAATGTGTGTGTGGGAGGAGTGCAATTGTTCCCATAAAATGAAAGAATTCTTAATTTGCTAAAACATAATGCATCATATTAGACCATAAAAAATAATGCAAATCTCTTCTGATCAGTAGAGCTAAGGAAATGCTCTCTAAATAAATGTTCCTGTTTCTTCAGGGCCTTAAAGCAGATGTTACAGTTCTTTATTTAAAATTTGAGGAGTCATAGATTTGAATGTAGTCATGATCAAATATGCCTTAACAAAATGTGAGAATGGATTTCTCACACTCATTCTCCCTCTGTCTATCTGTCTTTACTTGCTTCATTTCGTCTGAACAATAGTAAATATAGCTTCAAAATTCCAGGGTAGAAAATTGTATTTCTTCCATGACTCTTAATTCACAACTGTACAGTAAACCTAGATTTTATTTAGTGGAACCGAAGAAGGGACATTTTTATGATTTTTATCACTTTCCCTTGCTCTTTTTAAAATCAAGAAATTGCATTTTTCTTCCATTTTAAATAATGTCTCAAGCATTTTCCTTTGATAAAACATTCAGGTTATCTTACTATTATCTTGCTTATACCCAAGGCTGCCAGCAGTTCTTTAATGCTATTGTTTACTCAAGGACAGCCCCAAACACTTGCCACTGCCTAGAGTTGCAATGCAGGAGGTGAAAACATTAATGCTTCTTTACAAAGGATTGTTTGGATTTCATCTGCTATAATGTGGCAAATTATGATCAGATCTATTAGGATGGAATGAGTGCACAGAAAAGCTGATTTGTCTGAGAAGAGACTGGAAAGGTTGGCTTGGTTGGCCTATGAAAGCAAAGACTGAAAGAGGATGTGCTCTCAGTGTTTATAAACACTGTGTTTATAAACACTTACAGAGTGTGAATAAATGCATCATTGTCAGGAGCTTTTTTTTTTCATTATCAAGGACAAGGTTGGCACAAGGATAAATGAGTTCAATTTGTGCATGAGTAAACTGAGGTCAAAAGTTGGGCAAAGGTTTCTAATTACCAGAGGCACCAGAGTCTGGAAAAAACTCCTTCTTGATGAAAGAATGAAAAAAATCTCCAGACTCTTTTAAAGACCAATTTATGGGAAAACTTCCAACAAATTTGCTCAGCATAGCACAAGAGAGGATTGGGAGACCTACAACGTTGTATTCAAAGGTTGTATGTATTCTTTTTGATGAAGGTATTTTTCTTAGGAGATGGCTGGTGCTAGGCCCATCTTGTTCATCATGTTTCAAGCCCAATGCACTCCACCATGAATAAGAGTGTAGAGCATAACCATGTTTCAATCTCGAGCAATTAGATCAGGTCCTATAATCACAGCTCAGTTCCAGGAGCTCACTCAACATTTTCGTATGGATAATGACTGATAATAATAGCATTAGAGCTTCACTTGAATCCTTACATTTTCCACTGGGTTGGTGGGTCTGTGGGAAATGACACCCTCTTTGGAACAGGTGGGAAACCAAGTTGCCAGCTCGTGGCATTAATGAAAGCTAATGCACAGATGGAGTGAACCCTGCTTTCTCCAAGATCTTGGATTTTTTTTTTTCTCTGCAAAAGCTAAAAATTAATTTCTCCTTGTCCTGTCAGGTTTTATTCATCCTTTCTGCAATGCCTAAAAAACCTAAGGGAGGTACAAAGGAGCAAGTGATGATGCAGTTCAAAATCTCCTTTTCCTTCTCTTGGAGCTTCATCCAGCCATGAGTTTCCCTCAACTTCATTCTGGAAGGTGCTGAGAAATTCAGGAAGGGCACAGCACAAATGTGCTCTGGCATGGACAGTGGCAGGCCTTTCCTCCTCTGTTGCCTTTGGGAGGAGAAACACTCTCCTCTCTGAGTATCAGGATTTTCTGTGAAGTCCTGTCATGCACTGGAAAATAGTGCATACTGGAGCCATCTTCTTGGCCCAAAATTAAGATGTTTCCATAAGAAAAGGTATTTCTGCCTTTTTTTGGTGCTGAATACAGGAGCATGTAAATAAGTTCTTTCCCTCCATGTCTCTCACTCCTGGTTCAATTGCTTTGTGGTGAATAGTCAGTCTCTGCCTGGGCTGCTTATATTAAAATAATGGGACAAATGTTAGATGTCCAGTATGTAGTCTTGATTCCCACTGAAATGTTGCCTTATATGTCAAGATGATGCTCTTCAGTTCTTGTTTCCTAATTCATCTGTAAGCAGTTCTTAATTTAAAACCACATTTTTTTGCTTATTTATTTGCCTGCTTAGATGAAATGTACATCCAGCTTTATCCTTGTTCCATTTATGAAAGGATATTCTCCCCTTAATTTCAAGTTCAGACCAGCAAAAGAAAGGCTTGGAACGATACATTGAATTTCTAATGAAAAAGAAAACAAAACAAAAAAACAAAACAAAAAAAACCCAAAAACAAACAAAAAATCCCAACCCAACCTCATATAACCTAGCCTAAATTTATTCAGGTGCTAACTCAGTTCAACTTGGCCAACTTTCTAATTTTTTTTGACATTCGACGCTTGTATAACAGATCATCTGCCACCCTTGTATCATTACACTGTATCCTCCTTTGAAGTGCAAATGAAAATTGTTTCCTCTCATACAATAGTTGCTTTATATAGTTTTCTTAAGTCAGATCCAAAATTGAAGAATGAGAGATGAAATTGGAGAGTCATTATATAAAAGGCTTGTCACTCAGTTAATGCCAAGTATTTAAAAAATGACAAAGAAATACATAACAAATGACTAATGTTGAATTTGGGCTTGCATGGCATTGCTTTGTTGTCAATCTAAAATCTGGATTTATGGAATAATCAGTATTTAAAATAATAGCTGTCATTAAGCTATAGATGTATATACTTCCTTGGCCACCACACAAAAATGGCTTTGGTGTTTGAATTCTGTTATTATTTCCCAGGTGAGGTATAAAGGCATGAGGGAGTAACCTAGAGGTTAAAATGAAAACATTCTATTTAAAATGCACCAAAAAGTGCTGAATACAGAAAACATAAATACACTTTTATGGCAGGAAAAATAAATGCTTGAGGATTTGAAAGTCAAAATCTTTTTTAAAGTAGTATTTGATAATATAATGTGATCATGCCAGTATCTGTTTTTACATTATGACAGTGAGTCTAAAAATCTTGGTGTTACAGTTTGGGCATGCTGTGTAATGAAACCAGGCAAACTTTTAAATCCTCTGAGAAAATATATAATTTAAAATTAAAATAAGAAGTTTCTTGAGCTCTCCTTTATGATTATATTGAAAGTATTAGAAATATATATTTATATATATTGCTAAAACAGCATTATATATGGGGTTTTTTTTACCTCACAGCTACTGAAACAATACAGGCTAAATGAAAAGGCAGCATCTTAAGCTGAGATAAGCCATTATCTGTGGTACATTAAGAATTAATCGACCAGAAATGCAAGATATTACACTGAACACAGCTGATGCTATGTGTTATTTCTCTTTCCAGAAAAAAAAAAAATCTATATTTCATAAAGAACATTAATAACAGATGAATTCAGAAGCTATGATAATCTGTGAAGGCAAATAAAATACTTTTACTGTAGTCAAGAGAGTAGAAGTTATAATTTACATCTCACATACATTTCTTTCAAAATTTAAGGGAAGAAAAAAATACCAGTATGTCCAAAGTAACTCCTTCAAAATAATGAAAGGATATTATATTGAAACAGGAAAAAAGACAAAATAACTGGGATTGTTATTGTCATTGTAACATTTAAAGATCTGCTTTTTCAAAAAAGCTTGGTGTCATTTCTGCAAGAAAGATTCCATAATTTGAGATCAAGTTTATCCTGGTGTCTCCTAAATTCTATATGGTTATAGATCAGGAAGCTAAGGCAGAAGAAGATGATGGTATTTCATTACAGGTATTAACAATGCAGATGTGCTGTATCCTTTGGAAAACAACAGAGCTATAAATAAACAAATGAGAATCAAAAATATTCAATAAACTCTGGCTGTATGCAAGGGAATATTAAATGAAGACTGCCAATAGGACACTCTTGATCCACCTCACTTCCTGGGGGCATATCTGCAATTTTAAATGTCTGGAAAGTTCCGGGCATCAGCCTCTTTAATTAAGACAGATCATGGACAGTTCAACATGACGAGAAAGAGATCCTGGTTAAAAAGACTGTACAAATTTTAGATTATTTTTACTATTTTACAGGAAAATACAGACACAGAATTATCTTGAAAGCTACCACCTATTTGAATCACCAGGAAAAAGACCCATGTTTAACTAAAGTTCAAGTTCTTATATGAAGATCGGAGTCAGTTGCTGTTACTTGGGAGCCCATGTTCCTCTTACTCAACTTCCCTGAGGGACTCATAATTCAACAGTGTAAAACACCATGTTCCCAACCTGCAGGAATTTATGCTGTGTAAAAAACTGTTTTTCTGGTTTCCTTAACCTGTCTTAAAGTTACTATTTCAAGCTTAATATTGGTGTTTTTACTTAGTTATTTTTTCTTTAAAGTATTTGTCTGTAGAGCTGAGTGTTCAGCTGTAAGCCTTAATAGGTACCCTATGGAATATAAATTCGGTTTTAAATTAGGTCTTGCTATAAACAAGCACATTTACACCTAGAATGCTCTTTTGTGTTTTCTTTGCCCTTTTGGTAAATGATTGCTAATTTGCACATTGTTTATAGGTTCTTGGTATTCTGCTTCTAGGAAATGAACACTTAAGGCCTGGAACATTGTCTCTACCTTCACAGCTCCTAAGCAATGGCACACTCAAAAGTACATCATGCTATGGCTTCCTACTGATTTACACGTTATCTGTCAAGGATGCTGTGAAATACTTTTAAATAAAAGATCAGAAGAGGTAAAAGGAGAGGCAGAGAAAACCCCAAATGAAGCAGCTATGAAAATGCAAATATTTGGTGAGGTTTGAGCACAGTGCACTTTGAATTTTGCAGTTAAGGGTGGTATTTTAATACCATCAGTTATTTTAATGAGCATGCACACATTGGTTTTGAGGCTATGGTGGAGTTTGACAATAGCTGTGTGTCAATCAGAGGCCTCTTGGTCCACTCTGTTTATGTTTGGTTTATAATTTGGTGGTCATGTTTCTGAATTTTGACTCTCATCCATATCTTCTTCCTTGCCTTATCTTTCAGGAAATAAATGACGTGGATGTGCAGGAGCTGGTGAGAAGGTCAATTGGAAGGTTAACAATTATCCGGCAGACATTTCCAGTCCCCCAAAACATAAGCCAGCGCTGTTTCCGTGGCAACCACAGAATATCTTCATCACTGTGTGATCCAAAGGACCCTTTCTCCCAAAGCATGGAGGTAGTTCATATACCAGTCTATCCCCACCTGGAAACTGTCTTTCTAGATAACTTCTAAGTTTTCCCCCAGGGGCTTACTGTAATTAAAGTTATTTTTCATGTCCTCTGTGACAAGTGGTTTAATGGTTCACGGCATGACAAGGAAATACTTGGAGTTGGGGCAGGGGTGGATGTGTCTGATGGAGAGCAAGAACTTGCCTGCTCCACAGCAATAGAGATAAATGTCCAAAAAAGCAACCTGGTCTCCAGGTAGTAAGCTAGTCATTTTGTTGCCCTCCTAAATTTTAATTTTTTTCATCTCACCTGAAAGTATATCCTCCCTGTAGTCAGTGTCTCCTGAGTTGCTGTGGTTCTCTGAGACTCAAATATGTTTTTAATAAGAAAGTCTTCCTGGGAGCACCCACATAATCTCTTTCAAGTGCCTTGGTGTATATACATCTAAACCTATCTGTGAATTCCAAGGAGGCCTTATTTTCAGGGTTGTTAATCACAAGCTACAATTAAACTATATTAGGTTCCTACCACATGAATTCAGCAACAGGATCCCTGTCCTCCTGACTTCACATAGTTTTTCCAAGAACAGGTCCTCTGTTTTCTCTCATTAGGTTTCATCATGACAAACTTAGGCAAATCAAGAGTGTGAAATTGGCATAATATGTTGATTTTACTTCTGATTTTTTTGATTTTTTTTATTTTTCTGTGAACATTTCTGCAATTGTAGAAAGATGGCTTCATATTATTATTTTTAGCAGTGGAGCGAGGAGCTTATCTGACCCAGCAGCTAAAAGCAGCCACCTCATGATTCTGAAAGAGAAGAATGAGAGAAAACATTGGGCGGAAAATATAGAGGTCTTGAAGAGTGTCTGTTTAAAATGAAAATATGTAAGGGACAAAGTGTGAATAGTCTTGTCCTGTTTCAGATTAGTTGTAAGAGCCTTTGTGCCACTAATTTTAGTTCACAAAGCAGCCAGCCAGCAATTATTGATGACATGAAAAACTGGCTGTATCAGAGTGCACAGTGATCCTATTAGAGTTCTCAAAGCAAGCAGGGCTGTGTGACGCCCATTGATGCATAGGATATATCTACAGACTGTTTAAGTGCAAAAATCCTTTAGGTTGTGATTGTGTGTCATGGCAGCATGGTCCTAGGCAGAACTTTGGTCATCTAGGGACAGTGTGTTCAAGCTGAGAGTGTGATCACATGCAGGAGTGCAAAGAGCAGTTCTCGTGAGCAAAGTTACTGACTGCTGCAGCAAGGCAGAAAATAAAAGTCATGTGTCGATGGGATGCCGTACATTTTGATTTGTCTTTCTCTTCAAATTCACTTTCATTCTCACTTCAGCAGTTGGCTGAATCCAGGAAAGATGAGTTCTAGAATTCAAAGTTTACTCTCGACAAATTGGCAAATTCCATTTAATTTGTTAGATTGGACCTTCTACCTTAACCTGTGTGTCATGATCTACTTATAGCTTGGAGAGTTACAATGTTCCTACTGGAAGCTTTCACAGTATTTTGGTTCAAAGGAATGATGGAAGCTGGGTGGTGTAATTGTTCTGTGCAACTGAGTTGATTTTTTCATGCTTTCCCTGAGATGGCTGTACCTCATTATTTTAGCTGAGTGAGACAACATTATAAACTGCAAGGAAGGAAAACTGTGACACAGTTTCCCCTGTGCCTCTGTATGATGCACAATCCTTTGAGTAGCTGTGGGGTTTGTTTGCTGCTTCTTTGTTCTACCCAACAATATTATAAATTAGTTTCTAATCCAGTGGGGAGTTGGAATAGTTTATAAATTGAAATTACTTTTTTTTTTTTTAATGACATCGAAGTGTGACTAATCAGGAACATTCTCTGGAAATTATAAGGGTGAATTTCTTTATTTTTTTCTGAATTACTCCCCCAAAAGTCTGTGTGAATAATTAATTTTTTTCAGCATCTTTATTAAAACACTGAAAAATATTCTCATGAATATTTGAAGATGTCTCACTGCATCTTTGGAATTGGCCTAACTGAAACAAATTCTATACATTAGTATCATTTTGAAGGCAGAAAGTTAAAAACTGGATTGACAGAAGAATTTAGTACTGTAACCCTTTTGTCATAATGCTACATGCAATATTGTAGGTACACATAAAATAAACACTGATAATCCAGATTAATCATTCGTCCTTAATTCAATGCTATCTTTCTTCTGCACTCTGGATAAAATATTCACATCTGAGTTTTATACTGCATTAACAGAAGGTTATGCAGATAAATACTACTTGGTAATGCAAGTGTCCAGGCCTTAGTCTAACAGATTTGGAATAAAGAAGGGATTGGCAATGGACCCCAGGCAATGCATTAAATGCCCAAATAAATTTACATGGGAAATTAATAAAGGTGTGAAGTGACTTTAAATTACAACCCTCCTTCTGTTCATCAGGACAGATACAAACGAAGCATACTTCTGGTAGTGACAGGGAAGGGTGATTTTGAGAAACAGGAATTAATTGTGGGGTCTTTATCATTGAATTATCAGTGACTGGTTGCAGTAAATGTTAAACTCAACTATTAGTGAAGGACTAACAATGCTTAATAACTGCTGAACTCTGTCCTCCTGAGCCCTGTTAATACTTGATGAAGGCCCAGCTATATTACTCTTAGATTAGTGAGTGCATCCTTCCTCATGAACTGTGACTATTGTCTTCTATTCCCATGGTAGTAGGTTACAGAAGTTACCTTGAAAGCAATGTCATTTTCTTAGGAAATGATGGCTGGGCAACCACAGCCCTTCATGTACCAATTTAGTCTCATTAGTGACCTTATTCCCTCTGCTCTCCAGAGGTGGTATGGGTTTGAGGTTCTTTTTCTCTTTGGCAAAGACTTGTACAAAAAAAAAGCTTGCCTTACAGCACAGTGATAATTCCTCCCTTCTCTGCTCCAACAAATGTCCCTCTAGTGCCAACTTCATTGGGCAAACAGTTTTAGCTGAAATTCTTTGAATTCTTTGTAGGTTTACAATATGCGGCCAAATCATCTCAGTTGTTTTAAAAATACTTGATTAACCTGGGCCCACATCCTCCATCCATGCTTTTAATCCTGTCATGCACAATGATGACTGGCCTGTGCATCTGAAGAAAGTAGATTTTGTTCCTGGGTGAATACAAAAATAGAAGTGTTCACAGCCACTGGAGGAGCTCAAGTAAGAATAAAGAAGCACCTTATTTAGAAGGCAGACACAGAGAATGATCATTTAAAGAAAAAGGGTGCTAAGGATCAGAGGTTCTGTGCATCTGTGCTACTAACAGAGCAGTTTGTGGATGACACAAGCAAAGCCAGCAGAAAGATGGGATTTACTAAAGGAAATAAAAATATTAAAAGATGTTATATGGAAAGGACTAATTAGACAGGAAGAGAGGTGTTTAGGTTTATTTTAACTTTTTTTTTCCATTTTTTTAAAGTGATGCGTGAATTTGCCAATCAGTATCTCAGATCTTCAGCATTATTGTGCTTTCTTGCTGTATACCCCCTCCCAATAGCTGCAGGGCTTTCCAAGTCTTTGGATTTATTTAAAAAGCAGAATAGGCCCACTAAATTCCCATACTTTCCTTGTGTAAGCTTCTTTCTTCTTTTAAAACTTGATACACACCACCTGTATCTGTGCAAAAAAACCCTTACAGAGAGTAGCCAACATATTCCACAAATCTGAGGAAATGTCTTTTGGCTTGTCTGTGACTGATGCAGAAAAAATCCCATCAACCTTGCCTCAAATTGCCACTGGTTAATTTGTTGTCAGGCACTAGGAATGCTCTACAGAGCACTTTATCATGCATCTGAGGAAACTCTGTTTCCCTCAATAACTTCAGATGACCAATAGGTTATCTAAAAATAATATTCCCAAAAGCCCTTTTCATTTCTGAACATAATTTTTCTTCATGAGAACCTCTCATGTTCAGGACAGCTGAGGTTTCTTTTTATGATACTGTCAGTAACTGAAATGTTCCTGCCATTTGAGGACAGAAAAGACTGATGTAAAACTATACTGTAAATTACTTGTTTCAGAAGTGTTCTTGAGTTCTGAGCTTCTGTTCTTTTACATTTAATTGTATCTTTCACATCTGACTTTGAACTGGGTGCATTTAAAAGCAGCTGTGTAGAAACTAGAACATGGTTAAGTGGAAGTGGCACAAAATTCTACTGTTCTGCCTTTGATCCCAAACTAGAACTTCCTCACACTGTATGCAGCTGTGCTCACAGTGAAACACACACATTTACTCTGTAAGAGTTTTGTCCTGCAAGGAGTTAGCAGCCAATGTCAAACAGTCTGACAAACACTGTAAGTCGCAGAATCAACATGCAATTGCACACTGACAAAAATTTCATTGAGTCTTATTTCATGCTAGAAAGTGCCAATCAGAATTGACTGCACAAATCAGGAGCAAAAAAACACAATGAAATCTATTCTAAATTTTCAGAGTTTCTGCTTTTTAAAAAAAAATACAGGCTTGAAGTTAATTTGATGGTGTCCAAATATCTGGTGACTGAAAAATTGAGTCTCACAAGCAATTGTTTAAAAATAAAAGTCTGTTTATGGTCATAAGCAGAGCTGTAAATCTGGCAAGTGGAGCAGTGCCAGTGGTTGGGCTGCCTGTACTTCTCATGCGTGTGTAATTTGTTGTTGCAAATCACTTTTAGTGTTACAGCCCCCAGCTGCAGATTTTACCAAAGCCCAAAGGTGTGACATTTCACCTCTCACAGGTTCTTCTTTATACCAAATAAAGTTATTTAATTACCAGATTATGGATGAGGCAAAACAAATGATAAATTCTGGCTGCTGGCAGGAGACTACAAATAGTAATGGTAATGATTCCCTTTTGGTCTCTTTACAGATTTCAAACCTGTATATATATGACACCGTTCTCCTGCTGGCAAATGCCTTTCATAAGAAGCTGGAGGACAGGAAGTGGCACAGCATGGCCAGCCTCACCTGCATCAGGAAGAACTCTAAACCCTGGCAAGGAGGGCGATCAATGTTGGAAACCATCAAGAAGGTAGTTCTTCCCTGTATTTCCTCATCTTTGATTTCTAAAATACTCACATTAGGCAGTATTTCCTCCTGAGGTGCACATTACTCTTATCAGTATGGTTTTTCTATACTCACAGTTCCTGAATGGAAGTGGTCTTTATTTGGTTTGGGTTGTTTGTTGGTTGGCTGGTTTTTTCCATGTCATAATAATCATATTGAAAAAAACCAAATATATTTCTTTACCAAAACAACCAAACAGTTGGATGTTCAAGGAAGAAAAAGTGTCAAAGGTGAGCAAGTGTCACGGTTGAAGAAGTTTCACTGTGGTTAGGAAGGAAATATATTTACTCTTTTGTTTGTAAAGAAAGGAGCAAAAGTTGCAGAATTGCACTTGGCTAATGTTCTGCAGAATTCACCATTGCACTGCCTTTGACGTTAATAAAGTGAAATCATAGAGATGGGAGTAAGGAAACCCCTAAATTATCTAGGCTATATTCTGCCACCACAAAATATCCCTGTAACAGTCTTGATAGAGCTTAATGCAGTGCTGCTGCTTCCCTGTGATTTTTATTTCCTGTTCTGCAGTCTTTAAAGATTATTTCTCATAGTTATTTCCTTTCTTCACAATGTGTACAGCCTCCACATACTTAGAGAAAAATATCACAGCCTTTCTGGTCAATATTTAGTCAGTATGAACAGGTTGAGAGTTTGCCCTTCCCTGTAAGTTGTTTGCCTCATTTTCTTTATGTTATTGATGTCTTTCGCAAAGCTGCCTCCTCATTTGTCTGCATACACTTCCTGGTAATGTATGCTTACATTTAAAGTGCTGGCATTGTAAACACAGAAAAGAAAATGGACAGTAAAAAAAATAAATTAAAATGGTGTTTTATTTATGGCTTTCACTACAGGACATAAAAATAATTTAAAATATAATGTCTTGAGAAGTTGCCATTCTGCATTAGGTATTTAGCTCTTCCAGAAATTATGATGATGCAGGCAAAATGTAAGACTCCTTTGAGCACTGCTTATATTTTACCCAGTTCCAGGTTAATCTGTGTTACCTCCAAAATGATAGTTCAAGGATTTCTTTGGTATCTGTTTCCACTTTCCATTCTAATGGTTTGAAGTCATGAGACTGCAAGAATAATCCAGGACACATTTCTTATTTCAGGGGCAGGATAAGTCTTTAAGGGACTCCAAACTGTATTGCTCTTAATGAATTTGAAGTTCACATTTGGCAGTCCCATATATTTTGACCTGAAACATGTATATGTTTCAGGCAAGGTTGGTTCTCTTCTCACCTTGGATTTCATAAATACTGTTGCACACTTTTCCATTTAAATGGCCAGAAGAATTATGAAGGCATTCAGTAAGGCAGGAGCAAGCGGAAATTCCTGAGTTGTTGTTAGCTTGTTAAAAAAAATGAATCAAATGCCAAAGAAATTCCTGATCTGTACAACTGACCAGGCTTTCATCCTGTCACTTTTGGGTTTCTCTGCCACTTCAATTAGGTGACTTTGATAAGAAACTATTTTATTAGTATATATTGAATAATCCAAATACTCCTGGAAGTATCTCCCAATACTGGAAGTAACATGCTAAAATTGAAAGGCAAAATTTAATCCAAATGAAATATAGAAATTTTACTGTTTATGGATGTCAGTAGCATTTCAATCTGTAGGCAGAGGAAAGCTAACTGTGCAGCCAAGAGCTGGAATTGCACAAGAACAGGAATTCTGCTTTAGTTTTGTGGCCTACTTACCGTTTTCTTTCACTAAAGCATTTATGTAGAAGAACCTTGGGATCACAGGTGTTTATTTTTGAAATTACAAATTTGGCATTGATGAATGCCTGATGAGGTATCAGGAAAACAATAAAATACAAAAGCAATGAAGGGAAAACAGCCCCCACTTAATCTCTCTTCCTGAGAATGCTTTTCTTTCTCATCTTGCCTTATTCTTTAAATATCTTTTCTCTCCTATTGTCCTGGAGAATCCTCTAAAAGCAACTGAAATACGATTTTTTTTCCTCAAAAGCATACTACTTTCCCTTAATTTTGAAAGAAAACAGGAGGAAGTGACCACGTGGTATTTAAATAGTTTCTGAATTAAAAGTTCTGCATTTTCATTTTGAAATCACCACTGTTTTCAATAGTGGTGTATAATGGAATATTAGTATGATATTGATATAATTCACAGTGAAAATAAATTCTGAGATTTCTTAAATACTCCCGGAAAAAGAACTTCCATCCTCTGCAACACCTTCATTCTCCCTTCATGATGACCTGTGTTGCAGAGTTGAAATCATCACCTGCTCTCAGGTTGTCCCTTCTTTTCAGTGTAGCTTCAGTAGGAGTAAAATTATACTCAAGTATGGTTTTGAAGGGAAAAAGAGTTGAGAATTTTTGCTGAAAAGATCCAGAAACAGGAACATCTGGCAGTGTTTTAGCTGCAGGGGGAAAGCTTTCTTTGATTTCTGGAGGGGGAAATAAGAAAAGAGGTGGGAAATCTTTATTAAGCTACTCACTGAAGAAGATAAGAGAAAGGGATGCTGATGTTTTATCTGCAGCAGCAATTGTTAAATTTGTTACCCTGGTGGTAAGTAAACTGCTTTCTTTATAGTTAATGAGCTAGTAAAGGAGAGTAGGCAATGAGAGGAAATTAGTTTCCAACATTTCTTAAAGTGGTGAAAAAAAAGCTATCTAAATCATTCCTTACTGTCATTTATTACTTTTCACTGTTGAGTATTTGACTCAATGCATCACTATTTCTACAAAAAGCTACAAAAGTGGTTTTTCTTTGTGAATTCAGCTGATTGGACAAAGCCTGAAGAAAACATTTTAAGCCCACCACAATTATTTAAATCTAATATCTGTTTCTGCCCATTCTAGAACTGAATAAACAGTTAAATTCATCAGGAAATGCAATCCTTCTAATGAATTTGGCCAGCTCCAGCAATTAGTTTAAATTCACTTTTGTAATAGGAACTATCCCTAAACACATGCTCACTTGTTTATTTCTCAGTAAAGCTATTTCACAGTTGGAGAAATAAGTATCACTGGAAAATAATTCTACTTTGGGGAAAAATTAATCTTCCTGAGTAGCCTGGGAATAAATGTAAGTAGGATTATAGGGAGGATCAACTCAGCAAGATGGCATCAAGTTTCTGCATATACCTTCTCTCACATGTCTCAAGGGCTCTTCCCAGTCACATTTGTTTAGCTCACTAGCAGCAAATTTTTAGTGCTAGCAGCAACACAGAGCCTGTTCTTTTCTGGAAGATGAGCTGTGCCTCTTGATGCTTCATGAATCATAGGTGGAATTATCAACTAGTTCTGGTCTCAGAAATGTCAGTGATACTCAGTGGTAATGTGCGAAAAAGTAGATTGGATTGTCTCTGCTAGTTGAGAACTCAACAATGTTCTCAAGATCAGACTTTTTCAAGAATAAAATGTGAAATGCGTATTTACTGTTTATAGCATTTTTTCCTGCCTATAGCCACATTGTTTTATCCTTAATTGCAAAATAGCCAGTACCTGAAGAAAATAGAAGAGGAAGTTTGGACAGAAGCTGAGAGCAAGTACAATGTTTTATAGCTGATGGTTGGCATGCTGGCATTCCCAAGTGGGGTCCTGACTGCTAGGTGAATAATGTTTTCTTCAGGGACTTACAGTACAGTGATGCCTAAGCACATCTAAACTGTAGTTTATCTTGCCAGTCTAGGTGGGATTCAAGTAGGATTTAATTATATTGCCAAGCTTTATAACAGCTCTGTAAAGCCCAGAGCAGTGATCAGGATCATAAGTAAAACATTTTTGGCCTAGCAGCTGACATTTCACTCTTCACTTTTATATGTGTCAGGAAGTTGCATGGTTGCAGATGAACCTTGGAAGGATTTGAGAAGGTAGATAACAAACATGTCTTCATTTTTCCCCAAATAGCATTGTTGCTGTAAGTTAAATGGAGTGCAAAATTTCTTTTACTCTTTCCCGTTATCATGATTAACACTAAAATCACTTGGAAAAATCTCATCAGGAAGTTACTGCATCAGTAGCTGTCATACAGATGGTCCTTTCCTCTGTGATCTCCTTCCACTATGCATTAGCAGAGGGATAAAACACATGCTGTAAATCAAGCGTTTCAGAGAGATCCATACTGTGAAAGGCTACTCACAAAAATTGGAGCAGCGTCCTGAAAATCTTCCTAGGGAATATCCTGCTCTACTCTATCAGCCCTAAGCAGCAACCAGGGTTGTGTAAGCCTTGTGAAGAGGCTGTGTGGGACAGGGAGGAGTATTAGAGAGCAATAACAGGATTGTGTGGCCTTCAGGTCCAACAAGATCAGTCCCAGACAGGGAGGAGAAACCAAGGCCTCTAAGAAATTTCCTATAAATTTAGTATTGTTGGTATTATATGGGCGGTTCTTTGCTATTTTGTCTTTCTGCCTCTGCCCTTCCCAAACTGGCAGCGTTCCCATTCTAATCAGAGCTCTTATTACACTATTTTCATATGTACACAGTCTAGGAGAGGAAGCTCTGATTAGGACACCCCTTAATGAGAAATTTTGAAAGAATGATAGATTGCCAAAATAGATAAATGAGAAATAATGTTGTTGTGGTTAAGATGGGATCCCAAACAAATAAAGCTGACAGACTTAGAATTTGCACCTTGCCCTGACAATTTCAACCATTTAAAAATCAAGTTAAGCAAACTTCTACAAAGTTTCTGGATGGAGATCAAATTCCAAAGCATCTTAGATACTTCTGTTAACCTGTACTACATGTAAGGGGACATATACTTCAAAAGAATCCTGTGTTTTCATAAGAAATTGATTGATTAATTATTTCAAATATAATTGAGGTTAAATAGCTCTTTGAATTATTTTTTAATTGTATTAGCTCAAATAAGGACAAAGGTCATAAAAAATAATTTTAAAAGCTTGTTAATATTTCAAATTGCTATCTCAAATCTTAAAAAATCATTTGCATTTTACACATGATTCTATCTCATGTTCCTTAAGTTTTGGGACCACTCTCAATCTGGAAAATAGTCACTTTCATTTTCTAGATTGAAAATCTCATATTCTCCATTTCTGTTTTCTGCTGTACAAAACATTTGTGTGAAGACAGCATAATATTTTTTCATTGTGGTTAAACATTTCCTTTCTTTCACCATTTTGTTCCAGAGTTTTCCCTTCCTTTTTCTAGGTCCTGCTTGAAGCTCACTTAAAATCATGGTGCTGCTTGTCTATAACAGTTTAATTAATTTTCAGGCTTTGCCTGCATCAGACCCACAGATTTAATACCCAGTGTGAAGGAAAGTTTTAGGAAACAATATAGGAAATATAAAGTCTAATATAAGCAAATCAGTATCTGGTGATGTCCAGATGGAAACTCTGAGTAATTATCTGGGCATCCCAACTCTTGCAGGTCTGTGCCACTTCACAAGTGTTTCTCCGTCCCATGTTCTGTGACACTGTGCTTTAGGTATTCAAAAAACCAGATAAGAACCTATGAGAGAAAAGGTATGTGGAGCAGGTTCCTGCTTCTGGTCCATGAGTAGGATGAAATCAAATTTAATTTAGAGGAAAAGGTTTATATCTGTGAAACTCAGTTATTTACCAAAGAATATGTTCAAGTGATTTTGTGGGTAAACACAAGTTCACTCTGTCTTTACTCTGATGCAGCCAGAGGTGTGCTAACCCTAGTATAAAAGCCACAAAGGTCTGGTTATTGCAGGATGTTGGTCAAGATAAAAAGTAATTGGAGTATCTTGATAACCACATTTGTTGAAATTGTCTGGTTTGCAATTGCCAGAGTCTTCCTGAAAAAGTCTGTTTAGAGGTACCCTTAATCAGGCTATTGGCTTTTTTCCTTTCTTTTTTTTTAATTTATTTTTGTTCTAGTGCAGGATAAAAAAGTAAATACTATAGAAAGAAAATATCATGGAAAATATTTTTGTTAGATCATTAAATATGTATATACACAAAGGATTTTATTTGTTTTAGCTGTAAATGGCACTCATAAAATAGTTGTATTATTATAAAATTTGTATTATAAGTATCTAATTTTTTATGTCTTATTCCAGTACTAGTTTCTAGTAATCTAGTAAATTCTAAAGGTATCATCTCAATGATCAATTTCATTATATTTGTTATAATCGCAGTAATGTTTTATAAAAGTAAAAGAACATTCTGTTATTTCACAGCAAATTTTGTGTTCCTTCCTGGATTTTGTCCAAACTGAAGATATAATAATAGAGCTTTTAATATCATGATTCAGCAAGGCTCCTGTGCTTAGCTAGGTAGTTTATATTGCAGGTTTTTCCAGTTGAAATAAAAAAGCTCCTAAGTGAAACAGCAATCACAACTGCAAAGTTCTTGCCTTATGTTTTGGGGAAAAACTGCATTTCATGGGATTTTACACCAGAGGCAGATTTTTCATATTTTGTACATAAAATATTTTTTACTTTTTTTTTCTTGAGGGAGAGGGCTAAACATCAAATTTTCCTTTAATCTGTAAACTGAAGAAATTTTTGAAGGGTACTGGTTTTCATTATCAACATTTCACATGGCTCCTGTTGATTTTATAGTTCAGGTCATCACAGTTCTTATACAAAGATGAAATGTGTGTCATGTTGAATTAACTCTGGAATATATTTTGAGTATGGCTGTGGCGTGTATAGCCCTTTCAATTCTAATTCTTTGTGGGGATTATTCACTCTAGTGTTTCATCTCTAGTATTTTAACCCCTTCCAGCAAAAATGTAAAAACTTTAAAGCTAGCTTGAAGAACTTAGTAAAGGATAGTTGGGAGGAAAAAGAAAAAACACTACATTCAGCTAGACTTTGAATGAATCCCTTCTTGATTTGTGCAAATCAGATACGTTGAGCTAAAAAAGCATGTAACTTTGTCTAAAACTCAGCCTGCCCTCATGTTGAAATGTTTCATGGGGGAGAGACATTTGTGGGGAAAAAAAATTATCAACAAACATAACTAGTTTTTGTACTTTTCTCTTAAGGTATTTTTGTTTAGTTTTGCTTCACTAAAGTGCTTTGCAAAACTTTTTTTTTTTTTTACTTTGTTGGAGTTAAAATTTTAATACATATATTCTGATGGGTCAAAGAGCAAAAATTGGAGTGAAAATATGCTAAGAGTAAGACTGTTGCTTGTATTGCATCTGATTATCATTTCTGAGTTTAATTCTTCTGTGAAGAACTTCATTATGATGCAGGAATAATTTAAGCTTCAGAATTTTTAGGAAAACATGGTCTTTGAAAAACTATCCTAGCTCTGGTAGTTACCTGCATAGTTAGTGCATGAAGGCCTTCGAGAAACAAAAGGTTTTTACAATTACCCACTTAGAAGTTTTCAGTCCGTTTTCCTTTTTTTCCCCAATAGGGTGGAGTGAATGGCTTGACTGGAGAACTGGAATTTGCAGAAAATGGGGGAAATCCCAATGTGCATTTTGAAATTTTGGGAACAAACTATGGAGAAGATCTTGGCAGAGGCATCCGCAAGGTGAGGCTACATATATTCAAACAAGAGATTACTTTTACTCATTTCTTCAAAGCTTTTCTTGTGCTCCTTGTTAATAGATAAGTATTCAATGGCTTATATTCAGTGGCAGGTAACATGGTGTTCTGTATTGTTAGAGGAGTAAGAGATGGGAGAAAAGCTTTGAACTTTGAGATGCTCATCTATTTTATTATTTCAGATAGGTCTTGGAGGAGGTTGTGTTGATCAAGATATCATTTGTAACACAGAATGTGTTAAGCTGATGGACAGTCCCAAAAGACCAGTAAAAGTTGTTTTGTAACAAATACCTTACAACTCCTGTCCAAAATAGAAAATTTACATTGAATTATGTTTAGAGCACCCCGATTGGTCCCTGATACTTGGTCAAAATGGGATGCTCCACCTGCTAGATGATTAAAATTCATGGCTGTGGAAAGAGAAATTCTGTTATATAATAGATAAAAATTTCTGTAGCCTCTTCATGAAATAAATACATGGTATTTTAATAGGAGTTAACTTTTACAGAATTAGTTAATATTATGTATTCAGCTGCAAAACACAGTCCAAAGTCTTGGACTTGGATTGTTACAGAGAATGGCATCAACGTCCAGCAGAATTACTCTTTCTTGGTATTTGAGTTTTGCCAGTCTAAATCTAAATTTAAGCCCTGTGTGCCAAACGGTGGAAACGTGTCTCTATGTGCAATGAATATCCTTTACTTTGAACAACTGCTCATCTGGTATTGCAAAAATCATGTGGAGCTTCACAGGTAAACAAAATGTTAGTAGGCTTTTCCAGGAGCAACTCTCCTTCAAATACAGATTTCCTGAAAAACACCAAGATCTCGTCATTTAGTGTATCACATCATACTGGGTTTTGTATAGGAGGAGCATGAAGTGATTGAAATGAAATGAGTTTTCTTAGTACATGTAAACTGGTTCCATGTGTCAGTGTCACTGTATGATGAAGTACATCATTTGTCTGCATAGCTTCTGGAGCAACAGATAAGTACTCTGAAGGAATGAAGAGACAAATAAGTCTAAAGTGTCTAAAAACTGAACTTTCTCCTCCACTGTTCATCAGAATTGTTATTCTGTTTGTGCTATTTCATCTCTTGTCAATACCCTAATGTACACATGAGCCTATGGCTGTGTCACTTCAAGCAGAGGTCCTGACAGATGCTTCAGAAACTGGACAGAAGTGGATCTGGTTGATATTTGGTGGAGGTACCTCATAGAATCTTTGGAGACCACAATGTTGGATAAGTCCTTATTCCTTTACATTTAAGTTCTGTCTCTTTCAACATATTTTGGTTTATTTTTCATGCTATGCACTGAGGATCTATTTATTCTTTAGAGCTACCTTCCTAGGACAAATCTGTACCTCTTCATTTATTTATTTGGTTGACTTTGACTGGGGTTTTTTTGACTTCAGGCCTGTCTGGGTGAATGCCTGAGTGAAGTATTAAATTGTGTTCTTTCATTCCCAAAAAGATAGAAAAGAAAGATAGACTCACAGAAATATCTTCGAAATATAGAAATACAAAAATACTTCCTGGCTATTCTGACTCTTTGTTGATGGTGTAATTTAGAATTGTACTGTTAATTTAAGCTATGGAAGAGTTTGATTTTAAAACAGATATTAATGTCTGTGGACACACCTAACTTATGTAAAACAGTGGGGTAATGCAAACAGGCCTTTTTGAACCTTCCTTGTTTACTCTTTATGATAGTTCAAGAGCAAAGAGACACACGTAGGGAAATAGATTTGAAGTTGGTCAAAAAGAATAGAATTTTGCTCAGAATATAATTAGATGATGAAACTCAGCATCATATAATCCTGTTAAGGAGAAAAGCAAAGTTTAAGGTATTAAAAGTCTGTGAGTTTTTTAACATTTGCCAAGGTGAGCATTTTAAATTAAATATAGATATTATAAGAAAATTTTCCTCTTGAAAAAGCTAGTCAGTAAATGCCTCTCGACAGAGTTGTGCTGCAGCTGGTAAAAAAAAAAAGGGTCCAGAGCAGAACAGACTAAAACTGTTTCAATTTTTCTATCCTAAACAGCACTTAATAATCCAGAGAAACCTTTAGAAAGACCTTTTCTCTAGAAAGTTCTGTATATATTGTGAGAATGTGTTAATTCTTCTCAGAAGTTTCTTTTAAAAAATTCCAATTAATTATTTCAAATTTTTGCAATAAATTGAATAAGAAAATAATTTTAAATTAATATGGTATTTCTAGTCAATGTCACAGAGTTAAAAAAACAAGGTAGGTTTCTTAAAACAATTGCTTCAGAGACAGAGAAGAAAATTTTTAGGGTGTTTTACTATTTGCCAAAAGTTCACATCTTTTATCTTGGATTAGGATTTACTTTACACCATATGAGTTACTGGTGTTGGAAGTAAATCATGATAATTGCAGGAATCTGATATATTTTTGTTAACTACACTAATTAAAGTACACTTCAAATTTTCAGGTATTTAGTGATCTGACTGCTGAACTACCTAAGCATTTTTATTTCTCAACTCTAGTGGAAGCAGCTGCAATTAGCAGACTGACTGAAATTTCTAAGCTAATGCATCTTCCCTAATCAACATATTTTCGAGTACTTTTATTGGAGATAATGAAGGGTAAAATCATTACAAAAGGCCCATTGAAGTCATTGGGACCAGAGATTCCCATCAAGTGAATTGTGTAAAGAATTGCTATTTTGTTTTCCTGAGGGACAGTCAATTGATTTTAATAAAGCAAGTAAGATTTTAAAACACACTTGAATTTCTCAAGAGTCCAAATTCTGCTTGAAATCTCTTCTGCTTGGGTTCTGGAGTAATTTATACTTTGCAACATTCACTTATATTCATAGGTGATCATTCCCAGGACTCAAAAAAAGCAAATAGTTTAGGATACACCAAGAATTCATGCTTATGTTTGTTTCATTTGAATAAATTAGGCCATGTATCTAGGAAAAACTGTCTTCATGTCCCCTCCTTCAGCTTTCATGGGCTCCTGTCATACCTGGAATGCAGTGGGAGAATCTACATGAAAGGTCATTGTGTTGGTCTCCGTCACCTAGTGACAAGTTAGCAAATCCTGGAGTGGGATTTGCCTGAAACAGCAATTTTGTACCCTTATGACTCTAATAAATGTTATCCATCACCTTGCAGACCAAGGATCACTTAGCCTGCACTTTTTGCCAGAGCCAGGTACTCAGAGTAATACTCTCAGCTGCCAGGTACTCATTTTATTGGCACCAGTGGTATTAGAACCCCAAGGGAACTGAAGAAAAACTCTTGCTTTTACACGTCATACTGTGGCTTGCATTTGTGCAGATGTAGCTCTATTCCGTGGGAGACATGGGTGTATTTCTGACATTTCTCTGTTGGCATTTGTCTGTTGGTATTTGACATTTGAGTATGTATTCTTTGACATTTAAATTTCGGTGCAATACTTTTATCTGTACTGCTGAAATAAAAGCTGCCATTCCCGTGAATAACCATCCAACAAACAAATGAACAAAAGGGAGCTGATAGCTCTGAGTACTGTCTTACATCTTAGTGGTGTAGAAAACAGCAACACAGAAATAAAATGGTTTTCATGTTTCTTACAGTGCTCCTTGTAATTCATAATGGGCTCATCTTCAAAGGCTCTGTTCTACATCCTTTGAAGTTTAGAGGACTTTCTTTCTGTTCCCAAGCAGGTTTTCTTATCGCGTGTGGGCATTTGAAGATTGTGGTGTGTTTTGCTCTACCTCCCTATTCATATTAGCATACACCCACCTCCTGTATGTTTCTCTTCATTTCTGAGGATGTTTTACGTTATTTCCTCCCAGGGAGAGGGCAAGATGTTGTACCAGGCTCTTGCATCAATTCCTGTCTGCACAAAGATGTCCATGTCAAGGTTTCCTTTGCATTCAGGACAGCTAGAGATGCCTTGGAGGAAGGATAGAGCTGTGAGCATGCAGGAAAACAGGTAGCCTTGGTGGGGTACCAGGGTAACCCAGGATGCTTTGAGCCATCTGTATTTGTCATCTAGGATTGTAGGGTTCAGTCCTAAATAATTTTGATTTGATTTTCTTAAGGAGGAAATGTTATCTATTTTGATCCAAGAGAGATCTGTGGTGCCAAGCGTCTCATGGGAAAGGGATTGGAACTTCTCTAACACCTCCATTGTTCCTCCCGCTTCTGCCAGTGCAAGTGGCAGCACCTGCCCTGCAGAGTCAATGCAGGCAGGTTTTTATTTCACAGACTGTTAAGGGTTAACACTCCATAACCGTGCTATTTGTCCAGAGATGGTTTGCATTTTTCTTTATTCTATTAAAATAATTACTATTTCCACTTCATCTGAAAACACTTGTTGATCAAGTAGTGCCATTTCTTTCTAAGACTGTATTTTTTCTTACACTTGCATCACAGAGTAATGTTCCAAGCATATATTTTGATCTTTAGGAAGTTGATGTCTATTCTTATAAGGTTAAAACTTATTTTCTGCATCCCTTATATTCCCTTTTGTGCCATTAAGTAAAAAGAGAAGTTATACAGCTCTGCCAACACTTATTAACTAACCCCATTTAATAACCAAGAGCATATGAAGTATTTCCTTCTTGGTTAGCTTCTTGGTAAGCTAGTTGAAGTAAATGATGGGTTCACCTTTTCTCTTTGTGAGCATGATCAAGGTAGAGCTGTGTGATGTGATTTTAAAAGTATATTTGTATCAGTACCTGGTACTTTAAGCTGTGACCTGTTCAGATGTTTCTAAAGGTTGACATGCAATTTATGATGGGACTGAAAGATATCCCTGCAATTCAGAGAGGCATTATTGATGGTGTATTTTCTAGTGAGTAGAAATAAAAGTTGCTGTGTCTGACTGCTTTGCCTCTAGTATCGATGGAGAACTCGGTGGGCCTGGCACAGTACTACCATAATAGTCTTTCTAAAGCGACTTTAAATACTGACTCACCCTTCTAGAAATCAAATAAACTACTTAAAACTAAAGATAAAGAGGTA